CTCCTCCACGCCCGGCTGCCCTCCCGCGCGCCTCGCCCCGCGTCTGACCCGGCCGAGCGAGGAGGCTGCTGCTGCCGCCGCCGCCCAGAGGGATCGGAACGCGCTCCTGAAAAATCCCAAACGATAAATCCCGCTCTCCCGCTCGGCTCCAAACTCCTCTCTTTTCTGCTCTGGGCTCTTTTTTTCCCCTCCCTCTCTCGCTTTCTTTCGTTGCAAAACTTGGAAGTTGAAAAATTCACCGGTTCCACCCTCTGGACCCCGGTCGAGCTCTCTCCAAATCAGACTTAAGGATTGTTTTATTATTTAATTACACAATCATCGCTTTACTCCTCCTCCTGCAAACGCGCATTCCTTTTGCACCAGCCTCTCCACACCCCCCGCCCCCCACCTTTCTCCTCCTCCTCCTCCTCTTGCTTCTCTCTCTCTCTCTCTCTCTCTCTCTCTCTCTCTCTCTCTCTCTCTCTCTCTCTTTTTTTATAAAGCTCTCATACCACTGCAACAGCACCACGACTTTTTTTTATTATTTTAAATAGATCTTTCCGCCCTTTGGGCAAATCCCGCATCCCCCCCGCCACGTACACACCCCTCGAAAACCCGCCCTGGAAGAGGTATTTCGGTGCTCGCTGCGGACTCTTTAAACCGCGGGAACCTCCGAGTGGGAGAAGCACTGAGCCGGACTGGGCCGGAGAAAGGAACGAATGGAAAATTCCCTCACACCCAGGCCGCCCCGGGGCCCAGGCTGGGGCGCCGACTCTCGCACCCCGGGCGGGCGCGGTCCGCAATGCCCGCCGGCTGAAGGGAGGAGGGGGAGGCCGGGGAGGCGGGGGCCTGAGCGAACTTGGTCTCAAGTAGTTGGGGCGCGCCGGCGCGGATGGGAGCGGGGCCCTCCGGGGTCTCCCTTGCGCAGGCCCGCGTCCCGGGGCAGCTCCACAGAAGCGGCGCGCCTCGCCGCGGTGTGCCGCCCTCCCTGGCGGTGCCCGGTGCACGTGGCCTCGCTCGGAGCGGGAGGACCGGGCCGAGCTGCCGCCACCGCCTCCGGCGCCTCCTCCTCCTATTCCTCCTCCTCCCGCGGCTTGCTCCGCTCTTTTCCTCCTGCAGCCCCTCTGGCTCGCCCCCAATCCCCACCCCCCCGGCGCCCGGGGCGCCGGCGGAAAGCGGCTCCCGCCCCGCCTGGGTGCAGGCAGGGTGGGGCCGCGGCGCGCCCGGGGCTGCGGGGCGGGCGGGCGGGTGGGCGCGCACGCGAGCGGGGTGCGTGTGCCGCTCCAGCCCTGCAAAGGCGGCCGCGCCCGCCAAGCTCCCGCGCGAAGCCCCGCCCCCACCCCGCCGCCAGCCGCGGGCCCCGAGTGAATGAACTTGATTTCGGATATTTGGAGGCCGGCAGTTTGCCTTGCACCCTTTCTGCGCGCGCGCGCGCGCGCGCGCGCGCACGGGCACTGGCACACACAGACACACACTCTCACATACACACCCCGCCCCCCAAATTCCGGTTTTCGGCCAGGGGTGGGTGGGGAAGAGGTGGAAGCAAAGGCTGTGCAGACAATGGAGAGAGGAAAAGTGAGTGCCAGGGGCTCCGCGTCTACCTAGCCGGGGGCCGCGGAGAGGACTCGACGGCCCCAGCCCCGGGGCGGGGCCGCCCCCACCTCCAGCTGTGCTCTGATTTCCCTTTCCTCTTTTCCTCGCTTCGCCCCTCTCGATTTTTCCCCTCAACTTTCTCCTCTCCGTCTCTCCGGCTCCTGCCCACCTCCCCCCCACCCCTTTATCACCCCACCCAGAGGACCCGAAGGAACCAGTGACTTTTTCCTTCAGCAAGTGGGAGTTATCCACATCAAGCATTTCACAACGACACATCAAGAAAAGTAGGCAGGTTCAAGTCAACCATGAAATGGTCACTTTTTAACCCCGTCCTGTCCTCATTAGGGAAATGCTCAAACACAGTCCGTTTTCAAAGAGCACTCTTAATGAGGCGAGCCTGCCAAGTCCACCAGCTGCAGGCCCTGTAAACCAAGAGCCCAAAGAAAAAAAGCACTGGCGAAAGAGGGGGAGTTGAGAAGGCCAGGGGTGGAGGTGGGGGGAGCGTTGGTTCTGGGAAGACAGGTAAAGTCGGGAAATTTTAGAGAACTCTCCCGAGTTAACCCTTTAGGGCACACACCACCGGGAGCGGCCTCCCTGCTCCCCCGGAGGCAAATCCTCCAGTCAGGTCTCTGACAACCTTAATTTCCTTTGTGTGGGTCATTTCTTGTTTTTTGAAAAGCCAGGATAAACTTGATCGTCTTTATAGATGAAAGAAATGAGGTGACAGTCCAGGTTATAAATACTCACTTCTCTCTCAGAAAAATTTAGGCGATCTCATGCTAGATTTAAAAAACAAAAAACAAACAAACAAAAAAACAACCCCAAAGCATCACTTTGTATTGCACATTATGCTGCATCCCTTTTCTCACCCTCATACCAGAGTCTGAGGGGAGGGGGGCGGGGAAGCGCTACTGATAATACCAGCTTTAACTACTGGAGTTTCCCTTTGAACAAATATTCAATTTAACCGGAGTTAATTTACCATAAAAGACATTCCCCTTGGCACGAATGCACTCCTGTCCTTGAACACACCTCTTTGAATGCCTGAACTCGTAGAGAAGCCATTATTTCGAGGTCTCTTTAAAAATCAAGCGCCCATCTCTCTCTTTCTCTCCCTCCCTCTCTACTTCCCTCCCGCCTCACCACACCACCCCCAGTGAAATCCTGGCACCCAGAGAGCGCTTCGTTCAGCCAGACATCTAGAACGAGCCGCTGTCCCCTAGCAAAAGAGGCCCAGTGCTGAGCCCTGGGCAAGTGTCTGCAGACAAAGCTACCCCTCCTCCCTTATTAGTTTCCCTTACCAACAGAAACGGTTTCCTTTTGCCACCCAAACTAGGTCGCATCCTAAAGTTTCTCACAAGCTTAAAAGAGAAAAATGAAAAATTGACAACTCTTACACAGAAGAGCCCACAAAAGCTGCAGCGGCGCCAGGGGTGAGGAAGCAGCGACAGACCCAGGTAAGACCCCAGAGAAGTGAAGACGTCCGGGGCCTCCCAGGCCTATCACTGAGGGGTTCAAATCTCTCCCTGTTTGTAGGGCACTTATGGTTGGGCACAGTTGGATGAGCATGGAGGATGCTTGGTAGTTGGCGGTTTGGATCTGTTTCTGAGAAAAAGGAAAATAAGAAAGGAGTAATGGTGAGGAGGGGAAAACTAAAAGGGAGGAAAGAATGGGCAACAGAGACATCCGGAGTAGCTTATGGGGTGCTCATCTGATATGGCTTTGACTGTCCTCTCAGGCCTTGGAGCCATGGGCAGGATGGCTGACCCCCCCACCACCGCCACCCCCAGACCACTACTTGTTGTACAGCTAATGCCCAGGCCACTGCAGGTCTTCCCAGGATGAACTCTAAGAGAGGCTTCTGGAAAGAGGAGCTGATGGATTGGGGTGTGTGGAACATCTGTCTTCTCTCAGCAGGACCCTTCGCTATCTGTGGTTTGAGAAATGCCAGTCTTTTAAATCCCAGGTAGAGGAGCAGAGAGAAGGAAGTGAGAGCGTACATACGGTATTTTAGCCACTTTCCCTTTTACCCAGCATTTCTGTGCCATGGTAGTTAAGAGTGGTTTTAAAGTATCTCTGAAAAGCTTCTGATACTATCAAAGTGGGCCAAACACTTTTTAGACTGGTACTTACCTCTCCTAAACTGCCTTTTTTCTTCTCTCTCTCACTCACTGAAAGAGTTAAAGCAAGTCAATTTCATTCACCCCAAAATCTGGCTGGAAGAAAGAAGTGAAAGGCTTCTGCAGCAACAGGAAAATCTGATATTTCAGAATCCCTAAAGACCTCCTCCCTAGACCACCTATTCCCTGCCACCTTATAGAGAGAAAAGTTTCTTTTCTGACAGATAGTTTATTAATTTCAAGAAGTGCTGGAGTGTCTGTGCTTCAGGTGACTGGATTTTTCAAAACTCAATTGTATATTTGAAAAAGTAAGCAGTATTACCCAATTGGAGCCTTTCATTGACCTCCAGAGAGGAGCTGAACATCTCAAGGGTCCTCTAATATTGATTTTCTTTTAAACTTCTCCCTTCTAAAGAAATCCAGTGACAGGTTGTGAATCCTGAGCAGTGTAAGGAAAGGTTCTTGGAGCTTAACAAAGCTGTCATTTTCAATACACGCGGATGACTTTTTTTTTTTTTTTTTAACCTCTTGCATGTGATTAGAGGGGAGGCTCAACAATTCCACACACCCTGGCTGCATGGCCAGTATCAATATTTTAAAACTAAATACAAAAGAGACAGATGACCTCCTGACCCCAGGAAACAGGCCTGCAGCACTGCAAGTATCCACTACACCATGCCCAGGGACCTTTTCTTCTTCCAAATGAACCATAAAAATCATACACGTGTAGCCTGTAAAACACAATTTTATATCCACAAGCAAGAACATCAAAAATCCACTCCACAGTGCATATATAAACAACCAACAAGTACTGAAATTGTCTGCACTTGATGGGAATTGCAAAATCAGGCCCAGCTCTCTCAGCCCTTAAACTACTACTGTCAAATTAGGGGAGTGATTTTTCCGTACTAGAAAATTCACAACCGGTTAGCTTCCCCAAGCCCCATTGCCAGCACTTTGCCTTTCACTGAAATGAATAAATAACCGTGGACTT